CTTGCCCAAGAACACTATGCAATGACCCTGGCCAGGGTTCTAACCCAGACATCTTGATTCGAAGTCTGGCATGCCAACCACTAAGCCACTGTGCCTCCCATAACCTCTTATAGAAGACCTGTCTAACTGGACACTTTCCTGGTTCCAATGTTGGCCACTTACAGGAGTTTTCCAAGATTCCAAAAAATTTACAAAATTACAAAATTTTCTCCAGGAAATTGATTACTACATGTATTTAAGTTAACTTAGTAAACTGTGTGGATTTCATTTTACAGTTGGGTTTCTTCTTTCAGTTGATTTTAATCTATGTGATAATTGTATAAGATCCAAAATTGTTAATTTACTAATTAAGTTTCACTCATAGCATCACTTATGTACAACGAAACATTCTCACTCACCAAGAGAAAGTTGTGAGGACAAAAAGAGAATTCTCTTGTTTGTTAAAAGACAAATGCCACCACTGCGCTGGTTCACTGTTTTGGCATGCTCATCACAGAATTGAAGATGTTTGTAGGTCATAAATGTGAAGTGATTCAGGGCTTGAAAGATTTCACCTTCATAGATAAGCCCAGCCAAGAGATCCTTGTAACTCATATTTCCCTGAAGATTAATTACATTTAGTTTGTAAGACAGGGTAGAAAAAAAAAAGTTTCTTCCAAACTGTGCCAAACTCCATTATTTTGACAGGCCCTCTAGGGTGTTGGGAGGGAGGGGGAGAGCAATGTTGATTTCTCTGTATGAACATTAACAAGTCAGACAGCCACAAGAAAAACCTTCCGTTGGTTTTACATTAGCATTAATTTCTACTCTCCATGGTAGAGACATGTTTCAAGGAAGGGGCAGGTAAATGAAAAATTGGCCTATATATGATGCAAAAGTAGAAATGGATTAACAAACCACTTGTAAAATTTTATGATCTTTCCAATTATTGGCAACAGTGGGGGTGGGTGGAGGGGGAGGTAGTCGAGAAAACAGCCATCACTCTTTTAACCTCAATCCATTGTTGATGAGAGAGGTATTTGAGACTTCACCACAAAGTCAATGCTGAAGATGCCTCTCGGAATAATAATTATTGTAATTATAGTGTTTCGTCTAAACCTTAAGTTGCTAGGCTATTCTCAAAGAAACATCTAGACTGTTATCAAGCTTATTACCTTCAAGGAAACAAATTGTCCTTGAACAGAACGTTGGAGCTCATCGGCACTGTGTCGCAATGTCCTCTGCAGAGTTGCACCACTCATGTGTTTGGTGGTTAGTGAAGTCATCACACCTTTGGAACTGGGATCCAACATTTCATCTGTGAAGGCCTGGGGCTGAGTCACCACAGGTGGTGCAATTGTTGCTAAGAAATCCATGTTGACTGTAAAATGGATAGAAAACTATTGGAAACTTCATTTGAGTGGGAGCTGTTCTCAAAGCAGTCAGCTACACCTGTAACTACAGCAGCTCTGACCTTAAGAGATCTTTGTTAATATTTGGCACTGCAGTTCCTTTCTCCAACAAATATTTCTTTTTTTCAAAATGGTGCTTACATGTAAAAAGCAGAGGGCTTATTTACACCCATCAATGTCAAGCCCCATAGTAGGGGGAGGGGGGCTACCAATGGGGAATTGACTTGGCAAGCCTCCCCCTGAGTAGGGAGTTTAGCACTTAAAAAGGTAGTTATTAATTTGCTTTTACTAGGTGACCAGGGTGGAAAATTTGACTCTGGCTTCCTTGAAAATTTCAAATTCCCCTGGGTTTGCTAGCACCCTGCCTGAAACCTAATGTCAGGGAAAACCCAAAATATCCTACTTAAGGCTTTTAACATAACTACCGTTCCCATTTGATTTTCCTCCCGGATTTCACGGTGGCACAATTTGCAAAATTCAACAATTTTCGGCTTTTCCGGAAACTATCCTTGGCAAGTTTGCGATTCCGTACCTTCTGCCCATTTGCCCCCTGTTTCAAAACTTCCGGCATTTGTGGCCTTACGGCAACTGCGACGGTGAATTGATTTTAAGAAGCATGTTGAGTTTACCATTATTGAGGTTTATAAATGTTGAACCAGTAAGTAAAAGGTATCAGAACGAAAAAGAATGTTAGAAAGATTTTTAGTAGTAACGGAAAGTTAAAAGCATTACAATGTATATGCGCCCTTTTAGTAGTAGGCTGTATAATAATTAAACCTTGCCCAAGATGCAAGTTCTTGCATGTAGAGACTGCAAAGTAAACACGTGAACATTTGACGCTACTTAGTTAACTTTTTCCCGGCAATTTGCAGCAGCTTTGACGTTTGCAGTCCTTTAGCAAGAACCACCATTAGCACTTAGAGTCGACTGAGAACAATTTCCACCACAATTAAGACAGTTTCTCACATACTCGATCCGCTAGACACCAGCGAAGGTCCACCTTCAAAATTGTTATCTGCCATTTGTCGCAAAGGTATTCCCGAGGGCAAAGGGGCTGTTTTCTCGTCTTCTGAGAACTCTGAGCTAACCGGACTTCCACGTTTGGAATCGTCTGTGAAGTTTCTGTAACTCATTGAACCATTGAACGATCCCTTTGTGCAATGAAATGTGCAATCCGAAGCCAAGTTGACTTTCTCGGAAAACTTGGCACATTAGGCACGTGGTACGTTTCTCGGAAATCAATTGTTACGTTCTATTTTGTCGGGGGAGGGCAAAGTCTGTATGAGTTTTAGCTCTTTTCCATTTTGTTTCCCTCTTTAACCAGTGGTTAGTAGGCGAAAATAAAAACATTGGTATAATTTTTAGCAGCCACCAGCTTCGTGTTTTGTGGCTTTAAAGAACAGTCTTCGAAATAACGAAGTTTACCTAGAGAAACAAAATATTCTCTTGGTTTGTACTGCTGCTAGTTCTTGTCCCTCTCGGTCAGCCTGGGAACTACCACTGACCGACAAATCTTTGAAAGGGTGCCTGCTGTAAGTGCTAACCAAAAAGAACGCGGGCTCAGCTCTGGGATGACAACATGAAGTGTCTGCAGAGATGTCCCATAAAGTAATTTTATGCCCCAATATGTTACGGTTTGGTTTTAAAGACAAGTGGCTAACGTTGTGTGAAGCACGAAATCCTTTTCTTATCTGAAAAAGGAAGGCGTTCTTTTCTTTGAAAGAATCAAGTCCTTTATACTCTTCTGTGAAAATATGGAGTGACCAGGATCTTTCATCTCATAACCATTGGATTGCAATCATTAGCACCTTCATTAATTTTGCTATGTTGAGGTGAACTGTAAAACCAAAAACCAACATGCATACACGAACATTGGGAAAATGCTGAATCAAGGCTCTCATAGTCAAGAGGCTTCAGATGAGCACAACTTTTCATGTGGTATGTAAACTTACTATTCTGTTTGTTAAATTATACGACTTAACCGAGATCTTTACAACAGTGATGAATCAAAGTTCCATACAAATCCTTGAAAATTGTCTTGCTGTGAGCCTTGGCAACATATGGCGAGAAAAATAAAATTTTGTCAACTACTTCCTTGTGGCACAAAAAAAGATTCTAGAGATTAAATCAAAAATATCAGATTACAAGTGTGTTAAGGTGAAGACTGAAAGCGACTTCGAGTGAAATTGTATTTCATGTCTTTATTTCGGTCCGAGACGATATTTCTTTGCACGAGCGATGACTTTTTGGAACATAGCGAGTTAATTGTTTATTCGCGTGGCCGAAACATACAGGTACTTTATAGAGAACAAGGAAATAAACACGTACAGGTATAATGAATAACAAGTCTTTGGTCCATGATAAACAGATGCTCTTACACTAAACGGTGAGAAGTACTTGTCGTGGCGCATTATTTGTGTTGCGCTGGGAGCCCATTTGGACATTCCGTTCCGAAACGTGAGCACAAACATCAAGTTAGAAAGGAGTAACGCAAAGTCTTTTGAAAAAATCGGATCTCTCGAACAACCAGTAGTCGAAATATGCGTCCTGCTGTGTATAACTTGGAGTTTTGTTTAATTCAACAACTTATCGGCAAATTATTTTTGGTGTTCATGGTGTATCTGTATTTCTAATACTAGTGTTTTTTCACTAAAAAAGACGTACAAGAATGGTGTGCTTATAGGTCCATAATGAAAAATCCATTTTACAACCCAGAATGAACGAAATTCTATCTTGTTACTCTTACAAGCAAGTAACGGAAAAAGGAAATCTTAGCAATTTTCTCTTCCTATTTTCAATGTTATGACATTAGTCATTTAAAAACAAATGTTTTGACATGATTCATTTAAAAACAAATGTTTTGACATGATTCATTTAAAAACACATGGTTAGACTAAAATCGTCTAAATAATTAGTGCCCCTATCCAAAAGTAACGCATGTTAGATCCTTATAACTATTATTTGAGATTTCAGGAGGCTCAGATGTGCTAAATAAACGTTTTGATTGATGAAGCAAAGGTTCTCTTAAAATTTAAATTAATCAAGACTGTTTAGAACCTTTTGCTTATTTTGAAACGGTGAGTTGTCAAAAAAACAACCCAGTTTAATTTGACTACATTTTCACACTGGTCATCGAAAAGAAAAACATTTCTTTCAGTTGATAAAATATAAAATCCAGACTGATAAACAGACAATCAAATCATTTCTTTAGACCTTCTCTTGTGGTCAAAAGATCTTTTCGTCGTAGTTAGTACAAGACCGTGTTTCTCTATGTGTAAAATGTAGGTGCAGTGAGTGAAGACAAAAAAGTTTCGAAGCTGGATGGAAAGAGCCTGTTGCAACAGTTTAATCAGAGGTGAGAAATTTTATATTTCGTTTTCTTTTGTGCTGTTCGATATGACCACGATTGCTTTTGTTTTCACGACGGACGGAAGATAATTTAGACTACACCTTCTAAAACCTGCTATTATTGTCCCCTCTCCCCAGTCTCTCCGCGGTAAATGGTTCCTCCTTTCCATTCCCCCGTAAACTAAAACCGCCTCAGTGAGTGAGAGCATCTCGTCCAGTTCGTTGTGTCCTTCACTTGGATTAGTGTTGCTTGTGTGCGGTATATCCTACTAGTTCCTACAAACTCTGCTATATCGGCACATATGACAAAAATGTACTAATTAAAGTAAGGAAATTCGAGGTCTTATCAGGGGGTTTAAGGAGTACAGGATATTTTGGTAAAAAAAATAACGTCGGATACAGGGTATTTGAGGGGAAAATAAATGGGATGTGGACATAAATGGGACATACATGGGATATGTAGTAGAAAAATCGTCAATTTTTGCAACTGGAATTAACCGGAATAAGGGATATGTAGGCCAAAAATTAATGAGATGTGTGATACTCAGACCCTCACCCCCTCCCCCTAATGGGGCCTTAAATTCCTGTTGGCAAGGTATTATGCTCCGTTTCTCAGTTTCTACCTTTCGGAACAACTTGAATCTCATACCCCTCCTATAATAAAAGAAACAATAACCCCTTGTGTAGTGCTTAAGCCTGGGGGCAAGATCACTTAACAGTTCGTAGTGCAGCGATGAGAGCATGCTCGTAGTTTAATGATGCTTCAAAGTTTAGATTCCTCCAAAGCTTTGTTTATTCAACGAATGAGACCAGTTTTTAAATCTTGTGTACATAAAATGTGACAAGTGTGGTGACAACTGGGTCTTGATACAAGCATTTATTGGTTTCCGTAACTACTCTTCAAGCCTGTCGGCGAACGGACAACCTATTGAAGTTCCTTCCCGGGCATAGTTTTGAATTTTACAACTGGTTTTGACTTGGCTCCATCACAGTTAAAGTCACTTGTACAAAAGAACATTGGTTGAGTACGAAGCACATAGAAAAGAGAAAAGAGCAATAATCAAGTAAGCTTGGAAATTATTTTGCTGTCCGATACATCTATATATTTAATCTACATTTCTATGTTCTGAGCTTTGTACATTACCGAACTGGTAATTCTATACTTGGGTTGTCGTAGCTAATATGACAAATATTAACAACTAAGGCCGACATGGTTCTAATTTTGTAGGCAGTCTTCGCCAAGGCAAGAATTTTAAAATATTTCCATACAGCTTGCACTGACAGCGCATTTTTGAATCCTACATTAGCCTCATATTTCAATAAATTGCGGTCATCAGTTATCTTCCGTCGCATTGGATAGAAATATGAGTCCATTTTCTCTCGAAGTAAACAACCAACCCATAACTAGTGACTTAAATACGAGAGAAAATCAAGTCGAAGGACGATTAGTCTTCTCCGAAGGTTCACAGGAATGTGCTATGTACACAAGACGACAGGAGTCTAATATTACCTTATTCCCCATTAAATGAGGGATCTTAAGCTCCGCCAAGCACACGCCCGGTTTCTAATTCGCATTAACACTGACAAACTCGCCATGCAGCCTAACTTACTGAGGTGACTTATAGGTTTTGTAAGATCCATCATTGCTAAAATTTCCTTAACCGCAAAGGCCATCTAGACGGATCTGAATGATTCTAAATTGTTCCTTACACAAATTTCAAGACGTTTAAGGTGCTATGTTTCCAGCTCAGTCACTGTGACTCATAACATGGTTTTATGGAAAGATCTGTTTCCCCTAACTAGCTCAAGAAAAGAAATGTTGCAGCCCGCAGTGGCAGAAGTGATTTAAGAAATGGAATTGCACAATCTAATCTAAACATATTTTCCAAATAACTTTGACATGACATCAGTAGTTTTTTAAAACAGTTTGCGAGAAAATTAAACAAGGCTTTCCTACGGAGAGAGTGGAATTTTAGACTAGTGCATCTTTCTTTCAAGATTATCGCGACAGAGCTTGAAGAAATCTTCTCTGATAATTTTTATAATGATGAAAGTCATAAGCTTGTCGAGGATATTATCTTACGGCTCTCTTAACGCACGAGGGTTCTGGGATTCCATCATGACCATGGCAACACGATTGGGCAATAAAGATCCGTGAAGATAATTGCTGACCAATCATATGTAGCTCACGTTGAAAAGTGTGAACATGAGGTGAACATGCGAAAAAGAAAATCTTAACTTACTCGTTACAACTAAACACATCCGCTTTAAAGGGCTTATAAGTAAGAGCCCTGCTTTAAAACCTATTTATTTACATTAGTGTCGGTTTGGTTTGTTTGTTTTTAAGATATGGCAATGAAGAAGACAAGACAGAACTGCAGAATGATGCATCACAGAAACAAGTGACATAAAATGAAAACCGTTAAGTCCCGGATACCACTTGACAGAAAAGCCTGGAGCTAACAAAATGATGCATGCATCACGTGGTCTTAGATATGTTCTAATTGGTCTTCTTATGACGTCATTTCCAACTAACTTAAATGGGAAACGGTTTGATAGCGAAGAGAAACGTAAGTTAGTTTCTCCCGAGTTCTCAAACAGCTTCCACTTTTGGGGACAGTAATAAGTGAAACATTGACTTACAGCAATCTCTTTATCGCGTCCCTTCTTTTACCACATTATTCCCCACCAACCTTAATAGATAGAACAGAATTTAAAGGTCTGTTGTTACTCGCATTGATGATGAGGTTTCCTTAATATATGTGTCAACTGCATATCAAAGACGTTGGATACTAGGTAGTGAGCATAAAGAGCAATCTTGGTTGCGGTTAGATGTGTTGTATGCCATTTGCTGCTCAAGAAAACATAGATATAAGAAAAACAGAGGAGTTATCCGTCGACAAAGTCAATCTTCCTGACACATTGATAACGTTATCATCATTAAATATTTGAATTCTTATATGTTGATTCCCCAGAAAAGTCTGCCGAACCAATTAAATCTACAGTAGAAGCTTTATCTGCGAGGCTGTTTCGGTTAGCTAAGCGAGATAAAGGTAAGTAAATTGCAGAGCGAATGATCATTCTGAAAAGGGTAATTTTATTCGCAGTATACACACATGAAGAAAAACATGACACTTACCCGTACTCCTGTACATTTTGATTGTTACTCCTGTCAAGCCTTAACTAAAAAAAAGGGAAAGCATAGTAAATAGACTGAGAGACAACAAAATTGATGAGTTCCCAAGTCGGCTTGCAAGGTTCCTTGATTAACAATCAATGCTTTTCTTTCACCCAGTTTTGTGAAAAAATTGAAAGAGTTGTGTACCAATTGAGAGGGTCTGCAATGCAAGCACTGTGGAGTTTTGATTAGATTACTTGTTACTTTGATTAGTTCTGATTCATCTTCATTGTTTTCTTATAGAATCCCATTTACCTCCTCAAATACATCTTACCGTGGTCATTCCAAGTAACCCTGTTATTGGATCAAGGAATTTCAACTTACTCAAGAATTTCGCGCGAAACCTGGTGCAAGAGTTTAGTGTGTCCTCCTCAGGAACCAGGGTCGCGATAGTAACTCACTCCTCAACCCCTCGCCTCGCTTTTAGTTGGTACAAGTTTATGAACATAGAATGTACTTTGAAGGGCATATCATCTCTTAGGTAAATATGTGATGATCTAAATAAATTACATTCAATCTTTCTGGTGCAGTACAATTACTGATCATGTCTAACATTCTGTGCCAATAATAAAATGGATGGTAATGTAAGCTACTGCTGTAGGTGAAATATTTGACATGTGTTAAATTAAAACTTTGCATTTGGCAATATTGAAAACATGTACAGTTAAAGATTTCTTTTGTTTGTCAACAGATTTCAGGCTGGACAACGCTCCCCCATTGACAGCTTACTCAACTTTGTCAAAACGAAACTCTATTCTCAAGCTAACAATGAAACGAATCCAGTGCACAGAATTCTATTTATCATTGCAGAAAGTACTGCTTTAAGCTCTGAAAAGCTGACCGCTCTTCCCGTCAAAAAGCTTCATGACAATAGTATAGAGGTGTTTCTTCTGGCAGTGGGCAAGCACGTGACTAACAAGGAACCAAATAAGGTGGCCAGTAAACCCTTCAAAACTCACTTGTTCCGAGTTAACTCGTTCCCAGATCTTCCTAGGCTTTCTACAGCTTTCAAAGGCAAAGGCAAGTTGTTTCTTTTCCCTCATATTTTTGTTCATTTTTGCGTGAAAAGTTGAAAAAAGAGCAAAATGGTGTGCTGGATGATTTTTAAGCAATCTTTGTAGCGTGAAATAGATATGGGTTATTGACTAAACGTGAGGTCAAGATGGTAGGATATTTGCCAAGTTCTCTTTTTGCGTGTTTATGGATCGAGACGGAGTTGAAGTCCATAAACTCACGAACAAAGAACAAGACCAATATCCTGCCAACTTGACCTCACGCTTGATCAATAAAGTTTTTATTACATGGCTTTCGGGAAATTTTTTCTAGCGGGACACAGCAAGTAGTCCCGAGCGGGTAAAAAAGCGCCATCTTGTCCACTCGGGTAGCCAATCACAGCGCAGGATTTGGTTCATCGTGCCCTCTCACGGAGCTAGCCATATGATAAGCTCTATTCTCTACCGGCATATGTGACCGAGGTAGGTTTCGGAGTTGTTATTTGAAGAACATGGCAGACTTTTAGCCACAACAAAATTGGCTACGAAAACGAAACTTGAGAACAAAATTGAAAAACGTTAGGCTAAATGTTTCAAGGGTTTATTATTCAAGACACATCTCCTCTAAAAACTGAGTCCCTGAAACAATAATTTCTGATTAAAATTTTACGTCCCATCTCTCTCTATTTCACAGGATTCAATCATGGCTGCTCTGGTGAAGGATTCGTGTACGATGAATGCAATCGCCGTTGTCGCTGTAAAGACGACCATCTCACTGACTGTTACAGAATACGAAAGGACTTCATATCAATGCCCCTTGAGGAGCGCCGTCGATACGTCCAGGCCTTAAGAGTGGTATCCAGTGAGGCTCCTTATAAAAGCACCTATGATCTTGTCACCAAGCTTCATCCGAAATTCTTCTACATCATCCACGAGAAACCATTCTTCTTCCCCTGGCATCGCTGGTATCTGTTTGTCTTCGAAAATTTACTTCGTCACGTAGATTGTCGTGTGACAGTGCCCTATTGGAACTGGGCACGAGCAGTGTCACGCAAGCGCACGTGGCGACAAACAGACATTCGGGATATTTGGAACCCGGGGCCTCACGGCCTTGGCGGTAACGGTGAACCTGGATCCGGGTGCGTCCGTACGGGACCTTTTATGGCCGGGAAGTGGTCGTTGCCGAGCTGGTTGAGTTCTGAGTGCCTGTCTAGAAATTTCGATCACAAATATTATTTACCAGGAGAATGGTATGTCAACTATCTGATTAAAATTCCTAGGAATAAATTTCACAAATTTGAATCTGGTGTCAGAGACTACATGCACAATGATCTACATAATGCCGTCGGGGGAACGATGGCGCTGGACGAATCTGCAAATGCACCCGAGTTCTGGAGCCACCATGCTTTCCTGGACAAGATATGGTCAAACTGGCAGGATCGGGGACCGAAATATAAATTTTTGTACTATAGGAGCATAAACAGAACTCTCCCAGGCAGCAATCACTTCGGGTGGGAGTTTATGGACCTCCAAAATCAACCCCATTGTATAAAGATCCTGTATGACGAGTCACATGACGAGAAAGTACCCGATGGAACTGATGACGGTTCAGACAGTAACCGCGATGACCTTATTAAATATTATATTGATAACGACGATGACGATGATGGCGATGAAGATGATGACGATTTCGACGATGATGATGTTGATCTAAGAGACGAAACGGCATAAACTAACTCTAATAACTAACCACAAATGCAAAGGGTGGTATCTGTTCACCACTTGGGTTGAAACAGTTTTGTTATAAGAGCTGTTTTTCATTGATACGCTGAAGAACTACCTTTTCTTCTTAGTAACGTATAGGGTTATACTTTTTGCCCGAGACATTCGACGTTTTCAGTAGGTTGCCCAGTAAAAAGCACTGCGAAATTTTCGCATAATCCTATTCAACAATTAGATAATGGGCTCAAGATTTCTATGAGGTGGTAACTTCGGAAAAACGAGAGAACGTCGACGCGATTTCGCAGACGACCTCCAGTCACTGCACACAAATGACTGATAGTATACGAGTAGCTCAGCCAAGCAGATTGCAGCATTTCAATTAGTATACTAGCAGAATTCTACTAATTAACAATTAGACCCGTAGCCCGCAAGGGCTACGGGTCAGTAGCCCATGAGGCGAAGCCGAATAGGCTATTGACCCGTGGCCTTTGAGGGCGAAGGGAATCACCCAACTAGTATCACCCAGCTAGTCGGACAGAAAAAGCAATAATAAAGCTTACAAATGCAAGTTGGAGAAAAAATAAAACGAAAGAAAGTGTCACGCTCGATTGCACCAATTTCGCTACTCNAGACGAAACGGCATAAACTAACATTAATAACTAACCATCGTGAATGCAAAGGGTGGTATCTGTTCACTACTTGGGTTGAAATAGTTTTGTTATAAAAACTGTTTTTCGTTGATACGCTGAGGAGCTACCTTTTCTACTTAGTAACGTATAGGGTTATACTTTTGCCCGAGACATTCGACGTTTTCAGTAGGTTGCCCGGTAAAAAGCAGGGGAAAATTTTCGCATAATCCTATTCAACAATTAGATGATGAGCTCAAGATTTCTATGAGGTGATAACTTCGGAAAAACGAGAGAACGTCGACGCGATTTCGCAGACGACCTCCATCACTGCACACAAATGACTGATAGTATACGAGTAGCTCAGCCAAGCAGATTTTAGCATTTCAATTAGTATACTAGCAGAATTCTACTAATTAACAATTAGACCCGCAGCCCGCAAGGGCTACGGGTCAGTAGCCCATGAGGCGAAGCCGAATGGGCTATTGACCCGTGGCCTTTGAGGGCGAAGGGTATCACCCAACTAGTATCACCCAGCTAGTCGGACAGAAAAGGCAATAATAAAGCTTACAAATGCAAGTTGAAGAAAAATAAAACGAAAGAAAGTGTCACGCTCGATTGCACCAATTTCGCTACTCGAGGACTATTACTAATAGTCCTCTAGTGGCTTAGCCAATTAAAATGTAGGATTTGCATTAGTCCACTAGTTGGGTGATACTAAATTTAATTATAAATGCATTCTATTCATGACTGACGTTCTTGTATGACACACGAAAAAGCTGTAAGGATAATTGAGTCTGGGGTATTATTCTGACTATAAAATGTTTCAGCAAGCAACCGCGCACCATGATCCTGCTGGTACGGTGGATCAATAGTGATCTAATCGGCTTCACATGGAAAATGAATAAAATAAAAGCAGAAACCGACGCGACATAGGATGATTTATAAGGTGTACTATATTTCGGCTTGTCAAACCAGCCTTCTTCACTGGTACAATGAGAATTTTACCTACTACAGCCCAGAACATTTCCTTTCCTCTTTTAACCACGCTGCTAACGACATGTAATTGTTCCTCATCGAAAAAAGCTTTCCAACCGAGACTCTATCCGTAAGGCCAGGGAAGCTTTTTTT